ACGATAGTCTGAACGATGAATAAACATGTAGTTTCTGTCAACAGTATATCTTGGTATCTCTGCATTTTAATCAGGTTAAATGACTTAATAAAAGCAAATGTATTTCCTGTTCAACGTTAACTTCGCTTATTAAAAATTATAATGCGTGAATGATTGCGGATCATAAAAGCGACATGCACGTGGCTGTACATTCACGATAAGAAGCTCGCCTAATTTGCGACTCTGTTCCCTTGCAGCCTGGCGCATCCATTATTAATTCTGCGCGTAATAATGGGGAGTTTCCCCGCGCATCTCGCACTAACGATGAACGTTGCATTTGTAGCCAGATTAAAATTCATATATATATACATATCTATGTTCTTGAATACAGTTTCGGGAATACCAATGTAGATCTTGATGAACAACAATGTTAAACATTGGAGCTCTCTAAAGTTATTCCATTCAGCATACATCATTCAGCACACTGACGGAATCGATATTTCTGAAGGGACAAAGATGATAAGTAAACTCGCTTTATTCCCAAAAATGGATCATTCCTAAGAATATCGTTGTTTAAAATAGTTTAAATCATTGTTTTAAATTACTCCACGAATTGATTCCTAGGATATTATCTATTTTGTATTTCTATTATCTTTGAGAGAGCACAACGGTATAACCGCATGATGAATATTTAAAGAAAAAAAAAAACAAAAAGATTATGACAATTTGATTGATCTGTTAATTTCGACGTTAAATACTTCGAAAGGTATAATCCATTTGTGCGGCACAGTGCGTACGTCTATATATCCAAATTGTCAATTACAAATATTTAAATTATCTTTATTACTTAGCATCTTATTTTAATTTTTACAGTTACCACGAACGACAAATCTGATCATCATGTCATAATAAATATTGTTCAGTTTTTATGGCTTGGACGTGATATATGTGGAATTTTACGTTTCAAAGAACATTCACGTATGTACTACATTCTACATCCGGCATTTTAATCATTTTTTCTCCTCTTCCACTCACTTTTGTATTCGTCTACAGATGCAAGGACGTTAGATTAAAGATTTACGCATTTAAGATCCGGGTAAATTACACATTCTCTTGCATAGTTAAACAAACGTTGATATAATTCATCCTGCGTAATTACATACATAGTTCAAATCACTGTCTGAGTGCTCGAAATCATAGAAGGTTTTTTGTTATAAAACTTCAATACACCGATATAAGAAGGCAGATGAGAAAAAAAAATTAATTCATATAACATAATATATTTTAATGTATATTAAAAAGAAAAACTTAGCGATAGTTCTACGGAGAGATCTCTGACTCAAGGTTACTGCAGCCTTGAACGTGGAATCGAATAATTGATATACCGGTTCAGAGATGTATCAATAGATAAAAAGTCCAGTTGTAAAAATGAATTTAAAAAAAAAAAAGGGAACGAGGAGAGAAAAACAAACATGATAGAGACGAATTGCGAAATAGAGAGAGAGAGAAAGAGAGAAAGAAGATGTGAAAACCGGATAAGTTGCAACGTATAGTTATAATCTAACGGAGATTTTTGCATAACGTGACGCGACATTCGATATCTCGGGATCAAGAAAGGTGTACTGTTAACAATCGGCACTTGCTTTAAATGTATATTCTCGAGATAAGTGCTGTTCGCAGAACTATTCTTCGATATAATGACGTTCGAAATTACACGCGATTAAGATAAATACACAGCCGATCTCTATCTTTTGTCACTATAATCGCAGAATGCAATAAATACGTACGTCGTTAAAAACAAAAAAAACAAACAAAAAAAGAACGACTGAAATTCTAGAAATGAATCCTATTAAAATGCAGTCAAATTTCTTTATTACAAGCGACAAGCACTTATTTAAATTGTTGTTCGTAAAGTCTTTTACGATGCTCGTTGTTTAACTTACTCCGCGTAAAACAAATACTATTAATAAAAAAGACAAATACCATTAATCATCTATTTACGTCTACATCTATTTATAAGTACTTCATAAATTTCGCAATAATCTGGCACCGTAAAACCGTGCGACTGGATTACACACGTGATTGGAAGAAGGAATGCCGGTGAGTTCAGTTTTAATACACATATCCGGGTCGTAATTTTCTTTATATAAAGTTTCATGAAATCTTTTTATACTATAAGGATTTGCGACAGATAATGTCGGCCAATAGTGGCAGGAAGAACCTTTTTAAAGATTCATTGGGAACATAGCGCATGGTTGTTAGAGATTATAGTCTTTCAAGACCGGTTTATCTCCTTTTTTCGACCCTTTGATATGCATGTGTAAGAGACATAGAGGCGTGTATCGGTAAATTTTATTCAAGACACACCCACAACTTGTTTCACCTATGATGCACTGTTGCGACAATTTTTCTTCACCTACGATCCTATGACGTAGTATATCATTGCGCACCGACACTATAAAAAACATATTACAATCATGCCGACAGCGATCTATCATTGTCACTTGTTTCACATTTGGATTTCAAACGCAATATAAAACGAATTAAGTACATGTTCGATGGAAAATCGTTGTCGTACCTTTAAATAGAAAACCTTGGAACCGAGCAGTAATATTTTACAATGTTTAATATTGAAAATTGAACAGCCTTCAAAAGGAAATCTTCTATTGTGATTTCCAACAAAGGCGTGCTCAATATTCAAAAATACGACAAGATGTTGACAAATAGAAAAAGTATCAAGAACTACGTGCAACAAAGAATTATTTTAAAGCAAGGAGGATTTAAAAAAAGATGTAACCTATACGGTGTCGCACCTGAACCGAGATCGAGGATTTTCGATTAAATGAAGTAGCAAAGTGTAAAATCTATCGTCCATAAATAGTTCATATCTTGCTTCCAATCTCATTATATTTTCTACAACGTTTAACGTAAAATAAAAAATGTGGAACAGGTTTTGTTTAAACTAAATCGCGAACAACGTTTCTGTTTCAAATAATCGTACAAAGATACGATTTATAAAGGAAGCGATTTAATAAAACAGTTCATTAACGATGGCCATTAAGGGAAAAAAATCAATATATTCGCGCGGCAAGTGAATAATAATTTACATTAAAAATATCTGTGTTTACCACCCTTTTTTTGTAGCAAAAATAAAAACATCGACTCCGTAGAAATTGAGTTACATCTCCTACGGTACAATCGAATTACTTTCTTTCAGATACAATAAACTTCGAACAAAGTTACAACCATCGTTTTCTTTTTTAATACTTCAAAGCAAATTGTTTTATCATCGTATCATTACTGTAATTGTTTGCCTACGTACAGTATAACGTCTTATTGTTCCGAGAACCAATGTGTAAAAGGAAAAGCCAGACAGACAAGCCTGATGAGATTGCTAAACCAGAAAATCCAGAAGACGTCAGATCTTAACGTCTCTACTTAAATTCAACGGAGTGACTAATACAGTTAATAATGTCTGTTTCATGCAAATTCATATTTTTATAAATGAAATTTACAAAAGAGAAACTAGATAGAAAATTATTTTCTCTATTAATTATTATACAGAGTATAATTTTATTGCACTTCGGATATTTATATATCCCTCTGCGTATTACATGTATTCTCTGCATTTTTGCATCTTTAAGTTTCTTATAAGCGTATAATAATCCACAGTCTAATAACGTTTGTACAAAATGAATAAATATGCAATTATCGATGATTGTAATTTGTATAATACTTCTCTCCATCGTAAATATTTAACATTTAATATTCCTTTTTGTAACACGTAATATTTCGATTTTTCTGCTTTAAAATAGTATCTAAACCATTAGAATAATTTGTATCCGTAACTGAACATATTTATAACACCGTGGTTGAGAGAGAATGCAATAGCCTGTGAGACTATATTGCAATCAAATAAAGGTTATCGATAACAATCAAGTTGCCTTATCCTTGATAAACTAGCGAACGTTTGTACTGAAAAGTTACAGAACTTGCATTTTGTATGCGGTTAAGGAAAGCCATTTGTCTTTTCTTTATCTAACACGGTTAATAAAAATATTTCAAGCTTATCAACGAGTTTATCAACGAAATATAAAAATAAGTAGTTCGTCGGAATTATTACCAAAAAAATAGCTTTACAAAAATGGTAATACATGTAGAACGTCGATTATATAATGGAATATTTTTTAAGAGATAGTTAAGTTCTTTTTTCCTCGTGAATTCCAGACATTTGAGTTTATGCAGAAAACGATTTCAACATACGCTGCAGCATTGTGAGCGTAAATAGAGAAAGATTCTTGGCACTTTAATATCAAATTCTTAGGGCAAATAAATTAAATTAAGGAAAATATTTCATAAGCTTCGTGTGTCTGCTATTATGTCGATGAATTTCGATTACAGATAACTACGCGCGGTCGCACGTAATTATGATAATGAAACTAATTACAAATTCATGTAAATGTTTTAATTACACAATCAATTAACGCTTGCCGTTTATATGAAAATCTGATCGAGCACTGAGTCATTTCCATATATGAGGTAGAACGTGAATCTTATTTTCAAATTATTTCTGACGTATCAAGTAGATTTCAGCGGAAATGATGAAAGATCTGCCATTTCTTAAACTGCTTTTAATCATTTACATATTCGGTGA